TTATTCGCGGCAGTCTTATTGGGATATGCTGCACATGCTCACGAGTTTCAGGCCAGAGGACGAGACTGTAGCGTATGGGTCCAGTCGTATGCAATTAGTCCCCATTAGAGACCACCTGGATCAGATCCACCATACTATCACCGACGAGTTAGCGGAGGTGGATGTACAGCGATATACGAGGCTGTTGTTGCTCCTTCTACTGGGGGGTCTTGTTCCCGAACACTTCGGGGAACCTAGTGAGCCTCCTTTTTCTGCATCATATTGGCCGGTTCGAGGATACAACCATCTACAGCTGGGATGGTGTTGTCATCTCATATTTGTACAGGCAGATGTGCCGGGCTTGCATCGGCACACAGAGAGATATGAAAAATACACTAAACACATACATGCCAATATTTAGCTCCGGTTGCCATTTGTTCTTCGCTCCAATCACTTAAATCGTTCTTCTAGTTGTTCTTTTTCTTCTTCTACCTCTTTCAGTTTCGCCTTCACCTCCGCAAGTTCCCGTTTATATTTTTTTTACGTTCCTTTTGTGCTTCACAATTCCATTGTGTTTTCCATTTTTCTTCTCCCACCTCCTTCAGATTCGCCCTCAAGTCTGTAATAATTCTATTGCTTTCTTTTTTGTGTTCCCGTTGTCCTAAACACACATTATGAAGATACAACAGTTGTTCTCTGTAGCATTCCTGATAACATGATTCATCAACCCATTCCTCAAAATCACAAATAGGTTCGTCGGGAACCTTGTAAAACTAGTTCATACAGTGCCAGTAGCAGCGTCCAACTTCACCATCGTCCCAACAATTTTGCATCAAACATGCTTTTCCACACTTGCACTTTGGTAGACGAAGAGGTTGAGCCATTTGAGAAATATTTGTCTTTAGTAAAAAAACCTTACTTTTAATGAAATATTTGCTTTTAGTAAATTTTGAGCACACAAAATAACTACAATGATCCCGTTATTTATAGGCGAGACAACACACATAACGTAGTGTTCGCTAAATACATAATGTACTATCTAATGGCGCTATATTTTGCGTGTTAAATATCATGATGTTGACAAGACAACTTTATGTTAGCTGGTCAACTTTTTCAGTTCGACAAGACAACACACACAAAACTGTATATTTAACCGCACTAAATATACAGATAATTTTATTAAATTATTATTTAAATAGGTAAAATGGGAAAGTACAAATGATAATTAACAAGTATAATTTTATTTCATAAATCTTGCAACATAGACATAACAACTAATTATTACAACATCAACTCATGGGTAGTTAGGTACACTAGAAGAACAGCCACCACGAGCTTGATTAGTTTTGCCACCCAAACCAGCTGAAGGACATTTACGATAGTCGTGTCCTGTTTGCGAGCATATACCACATTTGCGCGCATAAACGGTATCACTAACATCCATTTGGTTCCGTATACGCATTCTCTTCTGCACCTGTATTTTAAGCAAATAGGGTTGTTACACACCATTTTAAATAGTTCCAGAGGCCAATAATGCTCAGCACCCACTGGCTGCAACTGACCTCTATATGTGTTTAGGTACTTGGAAACACTATATTGTTGATCAACATAGTTGGTCTCCGCATAACCAACACGTTGAAAACACTTGATGGCATGTGAGCAAGGCATGTGGTAGATGAACCATTTCCCACAGGAGCATAACCTTGCTGATTCATTTATAGTATGTACATTATTACCCCGATATTATGGATAGAGGTGCGAACTTCAAAAATAACTCTTTCGTTATCATACTGCAAAAATGAATGCCAATGTGCTCACCGTCTGTATTTCTCAAATCTCTGCATCGGCACTGGCATAAATTCAACACTCCTTTCCATCAATTCCGTTGCAACTGCAAACCGTTCAACAAACTTCTCCGTCATCTGCTTGAACGACATCCGCACCATGGCTGCGACGGGCAATCCTCTTGCCGACTTCAATAACCCGTTGAAGGACTCTGACATATTTGTAGTAAGAATTCCCCATCGTCTGCCACCATCCGCATGCAAAGTCCACTTTTCTGGGTGATATCGCATTAACCAACAATAGGCTGCCTCGTCTTCTTGCCTGATAGAATCCATATGCCTCCAGAATTTATGTTGTTGGTGGTCTGTGCTTCCATCCATATCAAATCATGTAGATCCTTGTTGGGATGTGCCTTTTGGAAATTGGCCTTAAAGTGCCTCACACAGTAACGGTGGTATGCATAAGGTTCTTGCCATGTAGACAAGTTCTCCACAGAACTTAAAATACCACCATGTCGATCAGATATTAGACAAATACCTGAACGCTGTTTGACAAGGAGCTGCTTCAAGTGGTTCAAAAAAGCGTCCACGTCTCTGTGCTTTCATTGGCACAAATAGCAAAAGCTAGAGGAAATATCTGTCCATTAGCATCAACTGCCACGGCTATCAATAGCTTGATATCGTACTTTCTATACACATGAGTTCCGTCTATTAATATTACAGGCCGACAATGCGAAAAACCATCAATTGCTGGCTTAAACGCCCAGAACACATAATTGAATATGTATTCTGGTGTTCCTGGACTCCGCTCAAGCTTCCATTCAACAACTTCTCGGGGTTAAAGTGTTGCAGTGCGGCCATGTACTTTGGCAGAGATGCAAATGACTTATCCCAATTATCGTAGACAATTTTAAACGCTCGTTTGCACCCGAGAAATGCCTTTCTTTTCGTAATGGTATGGCCATATTCCTGGTGGACTGATGTAATGCACTCTTTGATTTTATACCTTATGGACGCTTCGAGGTGCGGAATAAGTACAAGAGAAATCAAGTCAATATCCAAGTTGAAGTGATTCCCGTTGAATGTGTCCATTTCGCATGTGTGGGTGGGAATGTATTTACCCACTTTCCACATACCTGTCTTCTTCTTGGTCGCACGCAACATCCAATTACATGGCCAAAACCACCTGCGGCAAACAGCCTTGTATGCCATCGAACTTGACTCCCATACCTGCATCTCACGACACTCTTTTACGTTGTGCATTTTACAAGCTCTACTTACGCGCGCTTTATCAGGAAAAAGCATCCCCTTTGCAAGCACCGTTGGTCTAGACTCATCCCACATTGCTATCCGAATTTCATCAAAATCCCTTGTGAGAGCTTCCACATCCGGCACGGTTGGCAAGTTATCAATGTAAGGAATCTCCCTTGAATGAAATGGCACTTCAGACTCGTACACTATTCGTCTATGGGGGTCTCTCTTCAAATCAGGTCCTCCCTCCTCATCCTGCGCATCACCATCCTCACGAGGAAAGGGTGTCTCATCTCCGGATTCATCGGCATTGTTATCGTAATCACTGTTCTGTTCCTCACTCTGTGCATATGCCAGATCCCGATGTAATACGTCATTTTCGGGCAATTGAATGAGTACGAGTGGTTCAACTTGCTCGTTTTCACTGCACAACCAACAAAAATACAAGCTACTGAATTAATAAATGCTTTCCATATGGCTATATCACTTCACTTACATTTCGTAATGTGATGAAATTCCATGATGGACGTTTTCAATTAGGTGATGACTACCGGATGGGCCACTTGTAAAATTCATATCAGGCCAGTACCCCCTATTAAATATATGACCGTTAGTTCAAATTCAATACACCAAAAATATACTTAATTAACACAAATGAAAATTGAAGTTTACCACTCGTCTTGTGAATTATGGAAAGCAGGGTATACATTATTTTTTCGCTGCTCATTCGCCGGCGGTGATAAGTTTAAATCAAGGAAAACTCTTTCATTCGGAACCTGTCCAGCAAAAACTGCTCCAGAATAACCACCCGATGACTGGGGGTTATCCTAGTTTTTTGGAACGTCTTCGACCTTCAAGTACATCTCCAACATTGTGATTACAAGAAATTCCCGGCATTCATCCGGAGTCCTCAGAAAATCACTCAAAGTTTCATCATCGTCGATGTTAAACTCCGAGTAAAAGACAACCCCTTGCGGAGTGACGGAATACAGATATCTTCCGGTTACTTTAAGTATCACTGAACGTTTCCTCACACTCATTTTTTTGCATAACAACGATATCAATTTATCGTAGTCCATTGTAAGTTGCAATTTAACATAACACTGAGCAGGTAAACTGTAGCACACAGAGTTATTCTCCATCACAACCCCCTCCCCCCTCCTCCCCCCCGGTATAATAAAATCTTATTCTACGCTCTTCAGACATAATGAAAAAATGCTGGAGAATTAACAACAATAAACGTTTCAACAAGAGTATGGAAATGGCTAGCGGGGAAATTCTACGCTATACACCTTTTGAATGAATTTCTATACAATCCTAACCTCTTTATATAGAAAATGGCTAGCCGGGATTTATTTTTATATATAGCGCCCAAAAAGTGGGCACTATACACTTTTGAATTATTGAAGTCAAGAATTATTGGTGGGACCACGAAAAAGGTATATAGCGCCCAAATACTGGACGCTACACATAATATAGCGCCAGATTTTTGGGCGTTATACCTGTTAGTGTCAGCTTTTTATATATAGCGCCCAAATACTCGGCGCTATACATTAACGACACAGTTAACGTTAATGTATAGCGCCCAGTATTTGGGCGCTATATATAAAAATATCATTTTTTTACACTTATTAAGGTACTACTTGTCCAAAAGAACCACATTTTGATTCCGGACTCCTCTACTGCCTAGCGAGTGAGTCAATAGTGAAATGACGACATAATTGGCGGTCTTAAAAGTTGCAAAAAGGAATTTAGACGGAAAATTTTATTTTGTGTCTCATACAACTGATATTAGTTGTATGAGGCAATTTTTTTGTCTCATACAACTGAAATTTTTTTGGACCCAGAAGTGTAAGATTGGAGTTCACAAATTGGTGAGATAAAAAGGAGCCCCATACAACTAGTGTAAGTTGTATGAGATACAAAATAAAATTTCTCAATTTAGACACACGTCTTCGTATATTTGGAACTGTCATAAGTATCAGCCAATGGATGAGTCTCTATAGTTGGGTACTGAATCACATTCATTGTTTCCTTTCCCTTTCCTCAAAAACACCAAAAAATAACAAATAAAGAGAAGATAAGCTCAAAACCCCATAGCATCATCTTACACCACCCACCCCACCAAAAGTCGTAATTCTCACTCCCTATCATATACCCTTTTATTATCAGTATAGGAGCTGCTGATAATTTCTATTATTTCCAAAAATCGGGTGATAAAAATGGCGATTTCGGACAGAGTAGTGGGGAATTTGACAACGTTGTACTTATTGGTGATAGCTGGTATGAAGGCTTATGGATTGATGACTGGGCGGAGCTACGGCGGAGGATTTGTGCTGATTGTGTCCACAACTGTAGTAGGTATTATATTGATTTTGAGTCTGACGTATGACGTGTCACGTAAGGCTAGGTATGCGTTGACACGTAATCGTAATCTTCATCATCATCATCCTACTCAGCAGCTTTATCAGCCACGTCATCATTCCGACGAGTTGTGCCGAGGTGGCATATGTTGGCACGGCGTCCCCGTTAGGTCTCCCGCGTCTCAGGTTCGGTTCCGGCTTCCTCAACATCTGCAGCCTCGTTAGCAATTTTGCAAGAGCGGTAACAAAAGTTAAATTGAGTGATTTTGACTTGTTTTTTCACTGTAAGTCTGTAAATTAGTTTTGGATTTTATCTTTTTCAGCTCGAACATTGACAATTCTGGTGAAATTAGAGTAAATAGTGACCGGAAAGAGATATCAGCATCGCATTTTGGGCGTGTAAATGTAAATCTATCTATATTATTATAAAAGTGGAAAGTCCTTGGTTAAAAAGTTAAATTACTTAAATGCCTTTTTAAATATCCTAAATATTCTTACTTATAATTTTTTTTAAAACCCCTCTCATCCGAAAAGGTGCCTTTTCCTTCCAAAACAGGCGTCATTTAAGGTACAAACATGCGGCTAAAAACCAAACAAATAATGATCCTACGAGATTGTGGTATTATTTAAGGCTTAGAAGTTTTGAAAATCATATTACTTTCATACAATATAACAAATGGCATAGAGATCCAAAATTAGGATGAATAATTTTTTGAAGAAAGCTAAGTCAACAAGCATGTGTGTGCAGTAATATCTTTAATTTAGATTTTCCTTTTCTTCTTTTTCACTCCTTGATCTTTTGACTCCTTCTCTTAAAATATGGAGATAAAAAAGCAAATAAATGGAGGAGTTCATCACGCATCAAATATTTTTCTTCGATCGATAACTTAATGCCCTTCGTATAAAACTCTTATTTTCTTGTACCTTACATATATATTGGTTTTGTTTAGTATTTATTACCATAATATTAAGTTTTTGGTTTAGTTTATTTCCTTGATTTATTTTGGAGATTAAACAAGGGAAACTATAATAATTTATGTGGGGTATTTTTTTTCATGCATTTGTTAAAGATCAAAATTATTGTTTTGTATTAAATATATTTACGAATGAAAATTTACAAACTATAAAAAGGCAATATGAAAACGTTACAAACTGTAGAAAGATATGCTCAACTTGCATTGTTTATTAAGGGTAAAGGCATGATAAAACACCTTAATAAATAGTATGTAGCATATCTTTATTAGGCAATTCTTACTCAAGAGAGTTTATGTAACTATATTTGTTTATTATTCTACAAACAAAATGTACTTTATTAAAAGATAAAGCTAAGTTATTACGAAGAAAGGAACTGAATGTATAGTTTTACGAAGGTGCTTATAAGTGACTGAAATTTAGAATATATGAGTGATCCTCAAGTAAAGAAACCGTAATAAAAATTTAAAAATAATTTAAAAGTGAATTGATTAGCAAGCTATTATATTATATTTTAGTGCAGAAATCTAAATAATATTAAAGCACTTGCTATTTTAAGTGAAAATAAAATAGTAAAAGAAATATAATATGAAAAAATAAATAGAAAAGAGATAGGCAGAGTATTTTTGTAATATATTTCTCTTTAAAATATCTATAGAAAATATAAACACTTAAAATATTTTTTTGCATCGAACTAAGCTTATTTTTATAAAGTCCAAATTTAAATAATAATTAATTGTATATAGACACACACGAAAACTTAAACATTTATATTGTAATATGATATTAACATGTTTTTCATATTTTCACTGTTTCTCGGATAATATTAACAATCATAGACTCTTGCCTCCATAAAGAATTCTCTCCTCAAAATATAAAAAGAGTAGACTGATCAAGATGTAACAGTTAGACTTTATTTTGCAATAATGCTTTATTCTTCAATATATTGGAAATAACTTTTTATAGATTAAAAAATGGACAATTTGTATTTTATGTATTTTGCTTGTGAGAAAGAAAAAAAGACATCTTTCAGTTAGCTGACCATTTGTGTATTTATGAATAAATACTTTTTCAAGAAAATTCATACAAAAAACTTGAACAATTTTAAGTTGAATATATCAATTTAGATTTAAGATGATTGAGGACATATCCGGTAAAGTTTCTTCCTTTATTAGGCTGGATAAATAAGAAGCAACAACAACAACAACAACAACAACAATATAATCCCACAAGTGGGGTCTGGGGAGGGTAATATGTACCCAGACCTTACCCCTACCTCGAGGGGCAGAGAGACTGTTTCCAGGAGACCCTCGGCTCAAGAAAGCAACAAGAGACGATATATTAGTACTATCAATAGACTCATAATAACATAATATAACATAACATAAAATAACAAAATAACAGCAATATAAGAAATATAGGAAATACGAAAAAGAT